TATGAGACTTCTTGGCCAGAAAATCAAAAATCTGCTAACTTACTGAAGTAATTTATTTTTTGTGTTTTTAATGGCTCTTTTTTTTTAATAAGCTAGTAATTCGTTTAACTGGAAATTCATCAACAGCTGATGGAGAATCAACAATAAACGATGAAAATAAAGTGATAATAGAGGCAGTAGAAACAGCGGTCACATTTATTGAATCAAGTTGATCAGATTGATACTTAACAACAGACGATGAATCATCCGAAGATATGCTATTTCTTTGTAAGTAAAAGCAGAATCAAATCATGTGTTACTACTGAAATAGATTAAACTGCTTTGTTACTTTATATGCTGATTAATTGTTATTTGTTTTATCGCATCCTCATGGCGGCTATAGTGGTGAATCAGTTACAGAATAGAAAAAAGTCTAACGGGTGCGCCAGGATGAATGGCCGCATTTTGCATTTCAATTTTCATTCACTTAATATGTTGTATTAAAAAAAACAAAATACACCACACGATGCAGCGTGAAAAGTTCTACAATTTACACAGTATCGTTTTTCTTATAGTTGCACTTTTTGCTGTCAAAGTAGACAAAATTTGGAGCAATCAAATTTTGAACTGTGCGAAAATTGATCACTTAGAATTTTCCTTTTTTTGAAAACAATTACAATAAGCTTTAGTGTATAAATTGTAGAACTTTTCACGCTGCATCTTGTGGTGTATTTTGTTTTTTTTTAATACAGCATATTAAGTGAATGAAAATTGAAATGCAAAATGCGGCCATTCATCCTGGCGCACCCGTTAGTTCTCACTTGTTTTGTTCGAATAAACGAGAAGATCATACATGTCGAAACGATTAGGTTGCTTTTAATAAAACAAGAATTTCGTAACAGACATTCGTCCTATGGAATATTTGTTCCATTTCAAGAAACCGATGGAATTGTCCCATTCCACACTCTGACGTATACTTTTATATGTAGCGTATGTATATATATGTCAGCGTCCAAACTCGGATTCCGTCCAATCTCGGATTGGACGTAAATTCATCAGGCCAATCTGAGATTCGCCTAGGCCAATCTGAGATTGGACGCTCAATTTTCAGGCGAATCTGAGATTGGACGGAATCCGAGTATGGACGCTGACATATATATATAGCTTATTTTACCCTGTGGGATGCCACATCAATCCATTACAGACAGCAGATCATAGATCAATCGGTATGTAACCATTCAAGTTTTATTTGGTATATCGATCTATTGAGAATAATAGAAGAAATTGAGAGCGTGGAGATCCTATTAGAAATTACCTTGAACTTTTATTTGCTTACTATTAGTGCTTTCCAAAATTTTCTTAAACTTTTTCTAGATATTGTGAGTAATTTCCGAAGTTTTTTTCGTTTCTGTTAACTATTTCGAGAACTTCTTCTAAGAAATGTTCGTATTCTAAAGTTCAAAAAAATGTACAACTTCATTGTGTCGTTATTTATATTTTTCATTTGTCTTCAATATAATCTTTTATTAATAATAGTTTCATCTTTCTATCGATTTATTTCCTCTTTTTTTCTTTTTTTATTCTTCATCATTGTTAGGGAAATTTTTTGAAATGGCGATAAACAGTAGAACAAGGAACAATATGCTTAGTGTTACTTTCGTTTTCATTGTTGAATGAGAAAGACTAGCAGTATGTAGCTCATGCAAGATTATATGTATATTAATATTCTACAATAAAAAAATCTAATTTTCATTGAATTATATTTCATTTTGCTATTTTAATCTTGACAAAAGAGGATTGTATAGAGTGAGCAACTAGAATCTATTAATCGACAGTTTAAAAATTGAACAACTATTTTAATAGTTCGCTTCGATGCCATTTTAGCACGTAATAATCATCAGGGCGAATCATGTCAATTTAAACAATGCAGCTAATAAAGTAGCCGCTCCTGATGATGTTTGGGGATGGATTATCGTATTTTCATCGTTCATAATTCATTCTATAATGCATGAGTAAATTATTATCTTTTCGAGAAACTTCTTTGTATATCAATGTTCTACAGACAACTATAGAATTACATATTCAATGGATAATACTTATTTAGGCCCAATGATGGAAATACTTCAAAGTAATCGCTTTCGAGGTTCAATAATCTTTGGTATGTTGCTTGTTATTATTCTTGGTTCAGGTTAAATATGTTTTTTTGATTACGGAATTTTTATCTAAATATTTTGTTCTCTCTTTTTTTTTAAGAAAGAATTTCAACAATACTTGTGAATTGATATCGATGTCGAAGGATAACGATAATTAGTATAGGTCTAGCTGCTCTTGGATTTTTGGCAAATTCTTTCTATGCAAATATTTGGTTGCATCACATTGCTATTGGTATTCTTGGAGGTATGATTTAAGTTTGTTTCTATTTATTGTTCGATATATATATATGTATACAGCTAAATATTGGTTTTGGACTGATTTATTTGCTAGCAATTGTTTCAATGGGTTTCTATTTCTAAGACAAACAGTCCCTTGCGTTGGATATTGCTGTTTACGGTTCAGGTTTAGCGACCATAGCATTTCCTTCGATTATACCATATATTATTTTATTCATCTATATGGTTTGATTACCATGGTGCTATCCTAAATAAATCAGCCATCATCTTCATATGTGTAATCTGTAGAATGTTAATGGTAATTTTATTAGATTTTTCTAGTGGCTATGAGTATAAATATATTCTTCTACGTGTTTAGATTCCTTTACGAGGAAAATCTATTGACATAAGACAAATAGAAAAAAACGCACGAAAACCGGTGACACGTACTGATATTATGGTTGATATCAACGAACAAAAAAGCCAGCTGCTTCCAAATCAAGAAAGTCTTGTAATATAAATTGTTTTGTATTGTAAATTGAGTATCTCAAAAACAATGTAACTATTCGTCAATCGAGCCAAGCTTCATTGCATGTATAATTAGCTATTATCTGTTGAGACTGTGTTCGCTATTGAAAATATATTTTGGACATTTTTCTATTGGTTTTACAGCAGACCATTCCATTAGATAAGAGAATCAACTTTAGTTACACCCAGCAAACAATAATAACAATCATTCACTGATCATGAACGGCATGCGTCACTTCCCAAGGTCAAGAAAAATAAATCAGCAAATGGATCTGATAAGAATAATGATCATGATAAATGTTTTCTGAATCTGTCGAAAATGATCCTCCAAAAATGGACATTGAAACTCTAATCTTACTTGTACGTAAGGATGCTACTTATCAAGGTGATCTTCATCATACATGTATATTAATGAAACTATTAATGAATATTATCAACAAATAATTATGACAAGTGATATGAAAACTGTTCAATCAAGTATATTAACAGATGAACAGATCATAATGATTTCAAAGGAATCATTTATTCATGAACTTAGCCATGAAATTGACCTTACATTATTTAAAGATAATGCATATATTTTATTTGTTATATCAAAGTTTTTGACTAGTCTTGGCTTTTATATTCCCTATAGTTTTGCTAATCATTTAGCAATCGATGCAAATATTACTGAACATCGTCGACATTGAATTATTATGTCAATGGATGTTGATAATTGTGTTGGTCGTGTTATACTTGAATGTCTTGGTGATTTTGAATGGGTAGAAATTCTTTTTTTTTATGAAAGAATAATGTTTGTTATTTATTTTTTTTTATTAGGTTAACCGTTTAAATCTATACAATATAGCACTGCTTATTGCTGGTCTAACTACAATGGCAGCACCACTTTGTCCTTTAATTGTTTATTATCGTATGACTTATGCATTCTTTTGCTAACGTTCCTCTGGTGATTATCTTTGTTTGATGTCAGCTGTTGGTAGTGATCTAGTTGGTGTAGCCGGAGTGTATAATGCTCTCGGTATAGTTTATTTATTTCAAGGTGTTGCCACCGCTATTGGTATACCCATTGTTGGCAAGAAGAAGAAAAAAACTTGTTTTTCTTTTGACTATATTTTCTTATATATATATATATAAGGAAACATACGTGATAAACTCAAGGATTTTTCTCAACCGTACTGTTCACCTCATTTTCATATTTGATAGTTCAATTATTTTAAGTGGTGTTATTTTATTTTTTATTTCAATATTAAAACGACGACAAGAACATCATTAAAAACTAACAAAATATCAACGAGATATGAAAGTTATAACGTTTTTAAAACAAACGTCAACATCTGAAAAACAATTGCAACAATTGTAAATTATTACTTTCGATTTATCGTTCTATATAATCTGGAAATTAACATACAGTTTTTTTCAATGTTTTTCTGATGCCATAAATATGAAGGTTATACGACGAAGAAGATAAAATTATAAAAGATTCTTAAAATATTGTATTTGTTTTTAATAAAATTCTATTTCGAACATTGTTCTTATTGTTTGTAATCTTGCTTTTGTTTTTATTTAAAAAACTCCTCTCTCAGATATTATTAGGTGTCTTTTTCTTGTGACATGACGCCTCCTTTTGTTTCTTTATTTATTAAGGTTAAAATCGATAAAAAGCATATCATCATAGCAAAGACATGAATTTTTAGATAATTTTATTTACTTTTTAATTTTATATTTACATAAAAAATGAAGACGTGACAAAGAAAATCAGAAAAAGAAAATAATAAACTCTCATGACTTTCATGAAAATCAGAGCTTCGAACTAAAATTTCAAATGACTTTTTTCTTTTTATTCGTCATTACATAGAAAAAAAGTATCATACTGCGATGTTTGTTGACTCATAATGACAATGATTTCATAGAACGAGAAAAACATATATAGAATGATTACATGCGTGTTTCGTTATGTTTTTGGAGGCTTTTTCTTTTTCTTTTTTTTTTCACTTGCTCGCCTCTCTCATTTGATTATTCACGTTGGTAGGGTAGTATTTATTTTTTTGCACTGTATCTGTATATTTTAGATATAGCTAAACAGCGATGCCTGTATTCAATAGTCGAATTTGAAATATATTTTAGATGCCACCACCGCCTCCACCACCACCACCACCACCACCACCGCCACCACCACCACCTTCCTCAGCACCACCAACAACAGGTGGCGCCGATCGATCAGGCCTTCTAAATGAAATTGGTGGTTTCAACAAAGGTGGTCTGAAAAAAGCCGTGACTAATGATCGAAGTGCTCCAATTGTTGGAAATTCCACCAATAATAACAATACAGCCAATAGAACCAATACTCCTGTTTCTGTATCAAGTTCAGCTGCAAATCGATCAAATGCAAATGAAAGACCCAATACTGCTCCTGTAGCCGGTCCATTCAGTATCACAGCAGATCTACTTAATAGGCCTCTAAAATCAACCGGTGGTAGTAGTGGATTGACAGTTAAACCTTTAAAAACTGAAAAACCACTGATTCCACAATTTGTTCCTCCTGTCATTCCGCAATCATCGCCACCAGTGAAACCAACAAATGTCAAATCATTTCATCCAACAACAACTTCTGCTTCGCCGCCTTCGTCTCCTCCTCCTCCTCCTCCACCTCCCCCACCACCTCCACCACCACCCCAAATACCACAACCAGTTGTCCAACCGTCTCAATCACCAATAATGTCATCTGATGTATCTCGAACTGGAAGTAAGAATACTTTTGAAATGAAATTTTATTGAACTTGATTATATCATTGTACTGTATTATCTAGCTGATGGAGGAGCTTCAACAAGACATTTCACTCATCATTCTCCATCAACTCAAGCAACTCAACAACCACCGAAGCTTCCTCCCCGGCAACCTCCCCCACCACCACCATCGCAACCATCGTCATTCACGTCGACACCAATATTATCTAATGAAAACAAGTTGAAGACTGTACAACAGCCGCAAAAATTTTCATCTTCAACAGGTTCATTTCATACTTTTCTTACTATTTGATATAAAAAAATAGAATTCTATGTAAATATTTTTCTAGGTAATCAGCCAAATGTTACACGGGTACCACTACCACCACCACCACCACCGCCTCCTCCACCTTCGAATTCATCTACTATTTCAAATAACAATGGCCATACGCCACCTGTAACACTGAATCCAGAACATGTTGCGAAATTCAACATGATGATGAATCAAAACGGCCCTTCTTCCTCCAGTCCATCTCCACCACCACTACCTCCACCTAGAGGTATGGCCCCAAATAATTCTGGAGGTACAACACGTCGAGCGCCAGGAGTATCCGACTTCGTTGATAATACACCTGCTGAGCGTCGTTTTGATCAATGGAATACAGCAGCACTTGATTATGATCGTGATTTCGAACATCGTTTTCGATTTACTCCAATTGAACATCTTCCACCGCCTGGACTTTGGAAGCAACCATCATCAACTAAATCATCGAAAACTTCAAATGTTAACTAAAATTAAGCAATCAAAGAAATCGCTGAACTCTCTCGAAAAGAAAAACAACAAGCACTTTTCCTTTAATCTTTTAATTTTTTTTTCTCGGTGTTGTATTAAAAGAAAAGAGAAAAATACAGTGATCAGTTTTTTTTTTTTTACCACGATGTAATTATTATTATTCATTATAATATATTTTTTTTCTTCGTCTGTTTGTCTAAGTTTAATTTAATTTTATCTTTTTCTTATTCTCATGTGTACAGAAAAAATACACATATGATGAAGAGGTTTTAAGGCAAAAAAAAGAAAACAAATTTATTACTATTTCGTTTTTATATAGATTTTGAACTACAAAATAATAGCGTTTTTGATGTCGAGTAAATTCAATGGAAATTAATTACGAACAATGGCAAATTATGAGAAGAGGTAGGGACGGCAAATGCCTCCCTCTTTGAAATTCATGTACGACTATAATCAAAATCTCTTTGTATTTCTATGAGATTCACAGAGACCAATAGTGTGTATTTCACACCAGTTCAAATCTTATAGTACTTATGTTCTGAAATGAACGATTCAAGACAAAGATAACAGCTTATACATATGTTCTATGTAGTGTTAATACTTGTATCAAATATTTTTTCTTTTTTTGAATATAATTTTTATTCATGTTAGATGGCTGATGAGTATTTGTAAGGCTTAGCATTGAAATAACCAATAGCTGTGCTAACAGTTCGTTAGTGTTCGTTTTGTTGATAATTAATAAGTATTGGATTCAGTAAAATACATCTACGTAATTTATGTTCCGGATCATGTTCAATGCAATAATATCTTCTTAACTATCAAAATTCTTTTGCCAATTTATCAAATGTTATTAGTGACAACAGCCAAAGGCAAATGAAACTTTTTAGCATTAAAAGTTATTAAAAATCATAACATCAAAGTACAACAGGTGAAAATCATTTGAATGGACTACCTATGATGTATATGCATTCCATGATTCACATTGATATCAAACAACTCATCGACAAGTTTCTCAAAATCGAACAAATAGAATGCTAAAATTTCTTGTACGATTTATTTCTTGGTTGATGCTCAACCATCTCCGTTCAAAATTTTCTAGATTCACCATTGATTGCCTATTTCTAATGGACATGAAAAATTGAAATGATGCAAAATGTTTATAAAAAGATATAAAAAATTCCAATATTCTACAAACTTCAATTAATAAATTATGGTTAAAAAAGGACTTAAGAAAAACCATAATTTGTTATAAAAGAATATATTTTATTCAAAAATATAATGGTTCACAATTAACAAAAGATTCATTTATTTTTCATAATAGTAATTTAATAATTATGTTTCAAATATTTTCAAATGAATCTATATGTATGAATCATTGTGTAGATTGATGTTTTGTCTTAAAATAATCTTTCTTTTGTCTACACATTACAGAGAAAAACAACCTAATACATGGTATTATTAGTCTTCTTGTTCTGTCCACACATCTAACTGTATATGATGACGAGTTTGTTCATCTGATGGTACATAAATACGTTCAATAGGAACACGAAGTTGATCGAGTTGATCTTTTGGTAAGACAGCGTTATTATATTGAGTTTGAACAAATGAAGTTATATCAATAATACGTATAATATCCCGACCGTCAAGAAAACTTTCAATTTTTTTCAGACCTAATTGAATAGCTCGACGACCATGGACTGATTGGCCATGTGGATGATGATCAGGATCCCATTGTAAACGAATTAATCCTTGATGAGTTTTATTTTTCGAATTTTGTTCATCATCTGCAGGAAGACCTTTATGTGAACTATGTACTGCTTGTGCTAAATAACTATCAAATGCTGAACGTCGGAGCCATATTGCTAAAATACGTTGTTGATTAGATGATGTTGCCCATTGAGATCGATACATCATCCAAAGAAAATTCGTTTTTATCCCTAAAATAAGATTTTTTTTTTTATTCTTTCTAATAAATTCTAATTGAAATTGATATCCTACATGTCATTCGTTGTTGATTGTAACCAGGACATCCTCTAAAACGATTATTCTCACAGGCAAATTTTGCAATCTTTGAGTTATATGCTTGATAGACTATTATTGATTCATCATCAAACGATGCTAATATCCATCTACCAGGTGGATTCTCTTTGTTAGTTGGCCATCGACATTTTGCATCATTATATAATTCTGTAGAATTTTCATATTTACTTAACCAATCCATAAAACTCGACAGTCTCTTGTATACAGACAAAAATTTATAAGAAATTTTTACTACAGATGCCCAAACAGAAAATACTTCTAATATAGTATTTGAAAATATTGATGCATTCTTATGCAATAACATATGAGTAAATTACAACAAAAATATATATCAATTAGAATTATATATTATTTCATCATAATATCTTATTTAATCAGATTTAAAGATTTAACGAGTTCTTTTTTTAATGAATGCAATGCAATGAAATTTCAATTAAAATAAAAATTTGTGAATTATAGTAAAACGAATGAAAATACAGAACGCAAATTGTAATATGCTGCCATCTATTTCTTATATAGTAATCACAACTAGCAAAAACCATAGAACTATGTTATTCATAAATTGAATGGATTTACTTGCATATTTGAAGTTTATTTATTATGGTACTGTTCAAAATGCAAACAATTAAAACTTACATATCGAAGACATTCATAACGTTGACATACTATTGTTTTAGTTTTTCGATTCTTTTCTTACTAAATTCATTCAATTTTTGTCTACATATTACTCTCATACGAAAAAAAATATCATGAACATAGTTAAAATGTTTGAAAATGATGTTTTAGCATTTCTATTTAAAAAATAACCATCTAAGTAAACTTGTTAATTGTTGAAAAGCTCGATTAAAAGATCAGTTTTTGTTCTTTTGATTATGCCACAATCGTTCAGTTTTTCCCCCCGAGGTTATTGACATAAACCGAATACGAAACGAACACATACTTCAATTTAAATTGAAATCTATTATAATACATGATATGTATATAGAAGTTAATATGTTTAAAGATAATATTTTCTAGATAATAAATTTGTTTAAAAATAAATATTTATAATAAAAAAAAAAAACAAAAAAACTTCGTTTTTTTCTATTAATCTATGCTAAAATAAATTTCTAATATAAAGACAATCCTTTTGCATTAAGTAAATGGCTCGTAAGATATTCTTTAAAAAAAAAACGACAATGAGAAGACAGTGACGAGAAGAGCGATTTAAAATGGGCAAATATTGATTTAGTCAACCAAACAATGATGAGACGAGTTGATGGTGGCCACCTCACACTTCTTCTCCTTCTTCTTTTCATCATCATCATCACCATCATCATTGTAGTCTTTTCTTTGGACGCATACATCGGCATAGCAGACAAACACACCAAGAACATCATTATTGGTAATAATAGCAAGTAGTTCAAGTGAGTTTTTTGTGTGTGCATATGTATGATTGATTTTTCGTTCGTCTATTACCAATATTGACAATCATCATATGATTCTTCCATAGTTTTTTTTTTTTTTTTATTAATTTACTCAATAGACATTAGTTCCTCAAAATTTTATCAATCATATTCGAGTATTTGCTGTCTTCATTCAATTTTTAAGAATCATTTGCAATGTGTTCGATAATAGGAACCTTATGTTCATCTTCAATTTAGTGAGTGTATCTCTTAGCAGTAAAAAAATAAAGAAAAAGAAGCCAACAAATAATCAAGCTATTGACATCGGGTTTATTGAAGAATATTCGATTAGATTTCAGAATATTTCCAATAGTTATATCTTAAGTTTCATACTGTAATAAATTATTTCCCATGCTTTTATTGAATTTCAATTCATTGAAAAGATTAATCTTGTCTACTTTTAATTTTCTCATTATGAAAACGGAGATCAATGTTTGCTCAGTTTTTTTCTTTTTTTCGTATTTTTCCGTTTTAACCTTTTTATATTTAATATGTTGACCATTTTCGCATGTATATTCTAATGAAAAAGAGTGTCACTTCGAAAAGTAAATATATATTTGAACAGACAGGTCATGAGACTGATCAACTGTCTAGTGTCTAACATACATATATCGATGAATATCAACCATATACATATATATATATAGCTTGCCAACTTGTAACACATAAATTTTATTATTTTATATGATGAACATAGTGCCAGTATAAAAAAAAAACTGTACATATACCATCTGCATGTTTACTTAACCCGAAATGCAAAGAACAGAATTAAAACTACTACTACTACTATGTCGATAAAACAAAACACTATATTTTGTCTCTGTCTTTCTCTCTTTTTTCTCATAATCTTTAGAATAAAGTAAAAGAAATAAAAAAAGAAAAGAGACGATGTTATTCTTGTGTACATAGTTTTCAAAAAACATATTGCGGTGTGCACACACGAAATAAGAATATGTATATGTGTGTGAGAGAGAGAGAGAGAGAGAAAAAATGAGAATGAGAGAGAAAACGTTTGTTCAATATTTATTTACTGCAACTTCAATTAGTAAATATAGAAAGAGAAGCAAGTAAGCATAAGTGAGAATAAGAACAGAAGTAGAAGACGACAATTCTTGTTGTTCGACAAGCTGACATTACACATATATACATATATATACATTTTATTACTAATTGTGTACGACCAAAATACAACAAAAAAAGATAGTTTTTGGTGAGTGTTAAAACAAAATAAAAAGTATCATCGGTGATTTTGTTTTTTTTTTTTTTTTATATTCTTTGAAAATTATTTCTTTTAATCATGTGTCATTTTTATCGTTTTCATAACGTTCATTGACAGAGTTCTGATGATCAAACGAAGTTTTTATTTTTCTTTTTTTTTTTTGTCTATCCTATATGTGAGATGCCGTTAACAGAAGAACATAGAAGACAATTGCACCTACTCTCGATAAAGCTCATATACACACATATATACTCAGTCAATTTTCTGTCTGATTAATATATATCCTTTTTGATGTC